CTCACCCTTCAGATGTAGGTGGGGCTGCGGTTGGCCATTGAACTGTGTCTCTCTCTTCCTTCACACTAGTTAGTGGAACTTTCTCCCAGATTTTAGTAATATGTTACTGTCTGAAGTAGGCTCTGCTTTCTGTCTTCTCTTGTGTGTGTCTTTCTAGGTGTTTTAAATGGGATTTAAAAATTCATGTCAGGTCGCCTGGTGCCCCCTTAAGCTAGATTTTTTTTTTTTTCATCCTATCTTTCATTTATTTTTTAAAAAATATTAAGGAGCTTTCTAGGTGAGTCAGTGGTAAAGAATCTGCCTGCCAGTGCAGGAGACGCAGGTTCAATGCCTGGGTCAAGAAGATCCCTTAGAGTAGGAAATGGCAGTATCCTTGCCTGGAAAACTCCATGGACAGAGGAGCCTGGCAGGCTGTAGTCCCTGGTGTCACAGAGTCAGAAACAGCTGAGTGACTGAGCACAGTCCTTTTTATCGGCACCAGGATCTCTTCCAGGTAGTCATTGTTTCCCTGGAATCACTAACAGGAACTTCAGTCTGTTATCAACATTGGGCAGCCTTTTATCAACATACCTAACTCACCTTAACCCAGGGGGAAGGTTGCCTCCTGCCAGGTGCGTTCCTCATGATTATCCTGAGTTCAGAATAGAAAGTTTTCTTCTAGAAGCACTTGGTTATTCTAAGACTCCAGAGCCAAAGCTGGTTAGAAAGCTTAACTTTTAAAATGCTTACCTTCTTAGTCTTTTAATTCAGGGAAGGGGTTTAAACAACAGAAATGTGTGCTGTCAGAGCTCTGGAGGCTGGGGGACCGAGACCCAGGTGTCGGTGGGTGGTTTCTTCTGAGGCCTGTCGCCTGGCTTGCAGGTGGTCTCGCTCTTGCTGCCTCTTCACACGACTTTCTTTGCGCACCGGCATCCCTGGTGTGTCTTCCTCTTCTTATGAGGACATTAGTCATAATGGGCTAGAACTCCACCTTCCTGGTCTCATTTTAACATGATCACGTTTTTTTTTTCTTTCTCATTTTTATTGCGGTATAATTGACAAATAAAATTGTCAGATATTTAAAATACACAACTGTGATGATCTAATATATATAATGTAAACACTGTGAATGGATACCCTCTAACAAATCCATCACTTAACTTTCAATTATTTTTGGTGAGAATATTTATTGTCTTTTAATTAAAAAAATCTTTTAATCACATTTATTTGCATGCTGCTGTATTTTTGGTTTTTGTTTTTAGCTTCTTTTGTCTGCCTTATCTCAAATATACTACATTTCATTCTTTTAAAGTTTAGCCCCTATTTTCTTTTTTGCTAGTCCTACTTCTTTTATTTTTTGTCTATTTTTGGTCTTTTTTGGTCTAGTCCTTCCTTGTTCCTTCACTTTAATTTTATTTCTTACTGCCTTAATTTTTTCATGTCTGTTTTCTTAAGTCAGATTTCCCCTCCTCTGGCCTCTCTTCCGCTCATGGTTTGATTTTCTGAAGGCTGTAAGGATGTGTAGCCCTCTGAGAGTGGCAGTATTGTAGGCCGTGTCATTCAGCAGATGGGAAGACCTGCCTCTCCTCCGTCCAGTGTTTTCTGAATCAGTGTTCTGTCTTGACCCCTGAAATGATGACTTGGGGGTATAGTGACATGTGAACTTTAGAGTGACTTTTGGACAGCACATACCACCTGTGTGAGAATCTGACTGTTCTGAAATGTATGATCTGTAACGTGTGTTTGGTCACTCGGTGGAAAGACCGTGGCCTGCAGGGTCAGACAGACGGACGTCATGGCTCTTCTGTGGAAGAGCTACATGACCCTGAGCTGTCCTCGGGGTTCTGATGTGCAGAGGTTGATATTGCACCGTGGGGCGGCTTCCCTCCTTCCGGCCCAGGTTACTCTTGTGGCTCAAACCCTCAGGGGTTCTTCTGTCCACCCCTCTGGTGAGGCTTCTGCAGACCTCCTTCATCTGCAGGGGCTTGAGGGGAGCAACCAGGAGGTAGTCTCCAACCTTGTGCCAGCTCTCACAGCTGTCTAACAGATCGCCTTTTGACTCTAGAAAGGCGGTCAGCACTTTGAAACGACCGGGGCCCAAGTCACCCTTTGTGTGTCAGAGCAGAGCTGTTAGGACTGCTTTCCGGAGACAGCTTGCCTGTACTTTGTTACACCTTCCCGTGGCTAACCATCCCTTAGTTTTCAAAATGAGTTGCAACCCTTTCCTCTTGGTTAATTGTAAAGCAAAAAAAAAAAAAAAAAATTCTTGGCTATGTAGCAGGCTAATTGAGGGCTTCCTGGTGGCTTGGTGATAAAGAATTCACCTGCCAATGCAGGAGATGTGGGTTCGATCCCTGTATTGAGAAGATCCCCTAGAGAAGGAAATGGCAACCCACTCCAGTATTCTTGCCTAGAGAATTCCCAAGGACAGAGGAGCCTGACGGGCTACAGTCCTGCGGTTGCAAAGAGTCAGACATAACTTAGTGACTAACCAATAATGAGTAATTGAATTTGAGTTTCTCCGGAGATTTTCACTTCGTTAAAAAATCTTCACTTCTTATCAAACACTTAGATATAAAATGTCACTTTCCTGGAGGTAGCCTAAAGTCTGTCTCTAGTTTTACAGAACCTTTTTGAATTTTTTTGTGAGATTAGGGGCTGCTGAATACTTTATTCAAAAGTTAGCCGATGGGGCAGGGGAACTGAAGCTGGGTAAAAAGGAGCAGAGACTGAGCCCCCCTTTCTCCCATCCCAATCCCTTCTTCTCGCTTGGACACACTCAGTGGCTCCCTGGAGACCAGGTGGATCATGACTGCCTTAGTGCCCTACGGAGTCAGAGTAGCCCAGTAGAGCTCCCGACTAAGTCCTCACTATTTGGGTCACTTGTGAGATTCCATTTATGCTTTTTTTTCTTGGACTGTGATTGTGGTTTTGATTATGATATTTTATAAAAAGATCTAGGGGTGCTGTTTGTAACACCCCCACTTGAGAGATTGCCTTTCTGAACACACGTGGGAGAGATAGCATGTATGGTATTAGGAGGGTGGTGTTCCTCCATGGACGCTCTGGACCTTGTAGCTACTTAGGCTCCCTTTTCTGCTGAGCACATAGGAAGCTCAGTGTCAAGACTGTGGCCACCTTGAGGGAACGGCTAGTGCATGACAGTGTGTAGTTTGGGGCACTAACTTTACCCCAGCCTTTTCTTCTTAAAATTGTTTTCCATTCGTCTTCATTTCCTTATCCATCTGCTTACTTCTTTTCTGACATGTAATATCCTTATTAGCCCCATCATTCTTTTTAGAAGAAGTTGGTGTATCAGTTAGCAAATACATAAGAACTGTCCTAAATATTTTAAGAAACCATCCTCTTGATGGATTCTTAACCACTCTGGTCTGAGCTGTAGGCTGGGCTGTTGCAGAAGTCACCTGGCTGCTCGTGCCCTATCCCATCCATCTCCTTCCTGCAGAGTCGACCCGGCCGCGCAGGGTAGACGCACGCCTCTCTGAGCAAATGCCTCCATTTCTAGACCCTCTAGACCTTTCCCATGGTTCCCCTTCTGCACTTCTGCACCTCTGGTTCTGCCACTCTGCCCCCCACCACCCCCCCGCCTTGTCATTTCTGTGAATCTGAAGCCCTCTTCCCACCCCTTCATCTCTGTCTGCTCTGAGTCAGTTTCCTCTGTGAAAGCAGGGCAGACCACTTCCTGGGTGCTGCTGCTGCTCCTGCTGCATGTGTTGGGTCACGCTGACTGGGCTGCTCACCCACAGGGGCCTTTGTGCAGATTAGAACAAGGTACTGCGTAGGACTTCCTACTACTGGAAACCCGTCTGATGGATGAATGAGTCCAGGCTGTTTACCCTGTGAGGGGCGCCCTGAGTGTGTGGGGGTGGGGGGTGCCTGCCTGTGCAGTTGTGCTCAGTGGCCCCGTGTTGTAACTGGTGGGAACTGTCCATATCCCCAGCACCGTCAGTCTGGCCAGGGCAGGCCCTCAACACCTGTTTGCTAAGCTAAAGGAAGAACAAAGGTGTGAATTCACACCATGCTCTTGTCTGAAAAATAGCAGGGAAAGCACACTTGACAAGGCTTTTGCACTGAATGTTATGAATATATTATAATGCTGAGATGTATTCCACCTGCCCCCCCCCCACCCCCCCATCTCAGTATTTCTGAAATGACAGATACCTTAGTCAGTGGACTGTGGTAGGTGAGGACACAGCCCCTGGAGCTGGACTACTTGGGCCTGAATCCCAGGGCTACTTACACACTTATTTGTGAGATTCTGGGCATTTTACTTAACCTTTTTGTGCCTTGGTTTTAACAGTAGTTTATTCCTCTACTTCCTGGGGTTGTAGTGAGAGTACAATGGATTAATATATGTGCAGTGCTTAGAATATCACCAGGCACATAATAAATAGTAAGAGATATGAGTAATAGCTGTTAGCAGTACCATTAAAGGCTACATAGACACTATGTTGCTGTTTCCTTTTAACCCTGAAAAGCTGTTTTAATCCATGGAGCCCAGCTCACATGGATAAGCATCCTGTGTCAGCAGCTGCGGACTGGCCCCATTCTGTGTGCTGAGGTGGAACACCCTCTCTTGCCTGCGCCAGTTTTCTGCTTTGCTGCAAGAGAACATGCACAGTACACTGACAGGAAACCAGCAGGCTTTGTTTTTTCTTCTTAATATAGCAAAAGAGAAAGAGGGGAAAACCAGATAAGGCTCATTTTAGAACGTAACTTCTCCAAAGCTTAGATTGGTAATCTTAGCTGTGTAAAACTATCAACCAAAGAAAATTATATTTGAGAAAGTGATTATTTATCCATTAATTCATTCACTGCACTAAGCAGCGTGTTGGATTTTAGTTCCCTGACCAGGGATTGAACTCAGGCTCTTGGCAGTCAGAGCCTGGAGTCTTACCCTGTGGACCACTGGGGAATTCCCTGAAAAAGTTCTTCTAATGTAAAGTTTTTGTCTGATTGCAGGGCAACCTTCCTTAGATGGTTTTCAAGGAAACTGGGCTATGAAGTGGCAAAGGTAATGACTGTTCTGGGGTCTAGCTCCCCATCTGATGCCTCCTGGTGTCCTCAAGTTAGACAGTAGATGGATGTCTCTCCGCAAATAGTCGTGGATTCCCCTGGTCGTCACTGTTCACTTGTGGCTGGCTGCAAGACCATGTCAGGGATGCAGTGGCTCTTCTCTGAATTGCTTAGGACTTTTCCTCCTATCTCATGTTCGCTTGAGAAACAGCAGCCGTGTAGGAAGCTGTGCATGACTCCTGCTCACCGCCACACCCTGTTGAACTCTCCTTCACGTTAAGCAAGATCTGACTAATGCATTCTTTGGAGATGCTCTGCCTGTTTTCATCATGAGACTAAATGGTTTTTTCCCAGATCACACTACTGTAATTGAGTTTACCCTCCACTTTGAGAAATATCCTTACCTACCAGAGAGCACTGCAGAGACTCCCACGGCATTGGAGTACACTGATTTGGAGTTTTGGTACCTTTTCCTTAGTTGAACAAAACAGTATATGAGTAAACAATTTAGTGAAGTCTCTCAGTCATGTCTGACTCTTTGAGACCCCATAGACTGTAGTCTACCAGGTCTCTCTGTCCATGGGATTTTCCAAGCAATAGTACTGGAGTGGGTTGCCATTTCTTTCTCCAAGGGATCTTCCCGACCCAGGGATCGAACCTGGGTGTCCTGCATTGTAGACAGACGCTTTACCGTCTGAGCCACCAGGGAAGAATCCAAACAATATAGGGATGATCAGAAACTTCATCTTTTTTAATTCGATTTATCTAAACCCTGAGTTTGATATTTCTGTGTAGAACTGGTCAGCTTTAGCCCGTCAGAGGGTGTGTTTAATGATCAGTTCCCAGAAAGAGTATCTACATGAGGAACTTTCTCTAACAGGCCTTCTTCTGAACCTTCAGGATTCATTTACCTTCAGGTTGCAGAAATGATAGGCAGGCAGCTGTTCTTACTCTCCATCCCCTAGAAGGTGGAGGAGCAGACGGCGGGAATGTGTTCATCTTGACTCAGGTTGGTTAGCAGAGACTCTCGCTGATCTGAGTCCAGTGCAATGGGTTTGGTGCACTGAACTTGCTGAGCTGGCTCCTCTCCATGTCTTCATTCAGCCTGAAAGTCATGGCCAGTTTCCTTATCCAGGGGGTGGGGCATTTCTCAGAATATGAAAGAAAGCAGCCAGTGACTGCTCTGGCCCGCTTGTAGGCTTACAAGACCAGCTATTGCCACAAAGGGAGAAGCTTCCTGTTTACCAGCCGGCATGAGACAAAGTGGTGGTGCTTCCTGGCTGTGTGGGACTTGGCACGCGGGCCACATTCTGTCCATCAGGACGGCAGGGCTGAATGCCTGCTCTGTGCTCAGCCCTTGCCCCTGTGGCCCCGGTCCTGGATGCAGGCCACCCTCCGGAGGGCACTTTTGCTTGGGCTCCAGAACTGGCTCTGGCCTTCTGAAAGGGAAGGCGGCCTTGCCTCCTTGCTGGCTTCCTCCTTAGCTTTCCCTTCCCCATGGGGCCCAGTCCAGGCAGAGCCCTTGGCACGAACCTGAATCTCACCATAAATTCACATCTTTTGTTCCTAAGTCTCTAGGAAGCAGGATGCCAATGCCTCTGGGGAAACAGGTCTTTTTCGCCGGAGTGGCAGCTAGTGGGAGCTGCGCCATTCTGTACTACCTGGTCCAGAGTAAGTATCCGATGAAGCGCCCACGGCAAGGCCGCATCCTGGTTCTCTTGGCCCCTTCCTCCATCGAAGGAAATACTTCAGATGCTTTCAGCAGATTAGAGAAAGAAGGAAAGGGCTATTCTGAGCAGCCAGTACACCACTCCATTGGCTATAGCTTCCTTCTCACCCTATAAGCCCAGTTTTCCCAGGAGCCACAAGAACAAATAAAAGAAACAGGACTCATTTGCATAAGAAGCCTTGAAAAAGCAAGATGGGCTTTCACCCCTGAGCACACGCAGGGGATCCATCAAGACTTCTGAGATTATGTAAAGAACAAAGGAAAGGGGGCTACCAGATGGTTCCCAGGTGTGGAAAACTGGCTTTCTCCAGTGTCCTTAGCCTGTTCACCCTGCCATTCTCTGCTGTTCATTTAGTGGAGGACAGGACACCTTGAGCTGGGGACTGGGGCAGAAGCAGAAGTTAAAAGCAGAGTCGAGGCTGGCAAAATCCTGAAAGATCTGGCTTTCAGCCCCACTGCTCCTAAATTTGAATATGTAAAGATAGGCCACGATTCTTGTGAGCAGCCGAGACATTTAAGGGCATTTCAGTGCTACTGGTTGCGAAGCAGCAGTAGTTTTTTCTCGACTGACTTTCTTTTTTATGCCTGCCCAGCTTGGCTCCTCACCCTGTTACTTCCTGCCATGACATGAGCATCACCCACAGCCAGGCAGATAGCTTCAGCCCCCTCCACCCTTTCTTCCCCAGCTTCCTTCAGGGCTGACCCAGAGGCCTCTGGGTCTAGAGGTGGCCAGAGATGAGCATTCCCAGGGATAATTCATACTGGAATAGCTCAGCACCACTGCCCCTCTGCCAGAACAATGGAGGCAGAACATGACAGGAATGAATCCATTTTCAAGTTGAGGGCCTGGCAGCCTTTCCTTCTGAGGGAGCTGGGGTCAGCTAATAGTGATAGTACAATGGGCTCTGCCATCAACTGCCTGGGTTGAATCCCAACTCCTAACTCTGGCCTAGCTGTGTGACCTTACTGGGGAGTCTGTCTTCTTCCTGGGCGTGAGTTATCTGTGTGATGAGGGGTAATATTCAGGGCCTACGTGTGAGGTTGTTGTAAAAATTAAATCAATCTCACAACTTGTGGGATACAGAGAAATTGCTCAGGGAAGGTGGTCTGGATGCCACCTCTGCTCCTCCGCTTATCATGGCTGGGACCTTGCTCGCGGCTGCAGCCCTGTCCTGGGAGGCCATCCTGGAAGGGCATTCTCCTTGACCTCTCCAGGCTCAAGCCGCCTTTCCCGTCCGTTACAGTGATCTGACCCACAACCTTTCTTGTTGCCCCAATGACAACCATACTTGAGAAGCTTAGCTTCCTTTGGTCTCTCCCTGGGGAGGCTTGTCGTACCTGATGCTTTCAGAGAAGTGCTTCCTGGAGTTCCCAGTAGCCTTTGGGCCAAGGATACCTGAGGCTGAGAGCAGTTTATCTACATGAAATGTTGGCATAAATCTGTAAACTTGACAAGTTAGCCTTTTCATGTCCTATTACTTGGCCTAAGGGTTTTGTTTCTGGTGGTGCAGTCTGTCTATATTTTGCTGGTTTATCAGGACCTTCCTCTTAGAGGAAGGAGTAATGTTCAGAAATCAAGTTAGATTCTAGCCCTAACTCTGCTTCAGATTATCCGTGTCACTGAGCAAGTCATGAAATCACAGGACATAGAAATAGAAAGTTAGAGAAGGTCTGATCAGACGCCTTACGTGAAGAGAGGCAGTGAATGAGGTGAGGAAATAAGAAATGAAGAAATTGACACAGAAAGATCAAATACCTTGCTCAAGGTCACCTGCCACACCCCTACAGATGCTTATTTCCTATGTTTTGGTTTTGGAGTCTCTAAAATGGACAGATTAGATAGACCTTAATAATAATTCTATTGATTTCATGTTTGTTTCTGTTTTCCATGTTGTACGTGAATTGTGTCGTCTAACTTTCTACAAGTTCAATAAAGGAAATAAATGTAACCCCTTTTACACTTAGAAACTTTTTCCAGAGCTTCCTATTACCAGCTGGCTCTGGAGCAGCTGCACAGCCACCCTGAGGCACTGGAAGCTCTGGGCACTCCTCTCAACGTTCACTACCTGAAGCTCACTGACAAGTACAACTTCGTGGACATCGCCGATGCAAAGGTAACCTGCTCCCCCTGCGAACTGTTGGCTGGGTGCCCACTGGGTTGAGGAGGGACTGCTGTAATCTGGAAAGGGTCTTGGAACAAGCTGGAGAAAAAGGTGTGAGATGGGAAAATCCACTATGTAAAACTGCCACTGGATGTTCCTTAGCACCTTTAAAAAAAAAAAAAAGCATTGTGGATTAATTAACTTTCACATAAGTTTTCTTCCTTTCCGGGGAATTGATGTGGCAAGGAAAAGCCCGTTTGTGCTCAGGTCGCCATCTTGAACTGAAGGTTGTCGAGAAATGATCAGTGGTGGTATGCCAGTATTTCAATTCTGAACTTGAAATATACCTACAGCTAATTGGTGCTCATTAAAATCTAAAAACTCTTTAAACTCTAGTTTTAAATGTAAAAGCTTCCATGCAATGCCAGTCCATTTTTTCAGCTATATCTCACTTTTATAGTTCAACTGATAAAACTCAACTGAATATAAAAACCTTTTTTTCCCCTTCTGTCTAATATGTTAGAGGAATGATTCTAAGCTGTGTGGGGAATACAGAGAAGACTTTGAGGGAGTTCGTAGCTGGGAGAATGGGCTGAGTGAGGCAATGAAAGGGCTGTGACATCATCTTGTGAGGTGTGCATTTGATTCTGTGACAAGCAGAAGGCCTGGAGTATTTGGAGGATAAGAGTGAGCTGATCTAACCTACTTTATTTTTGTTCTTGTTGTTTTATTAACAGAAACAGTTCTATTGGAATTCTCCCCCTAACTACAAAAGCAATTTGTGCTCAAGTGTTCTGCTAAAAGTAGTCAGTGGTTTAAAAAAACTTTTGACATCTAGTTGATTTTATATTAGATTAGTACAGTTTGTTGGCATATAACTGTTCATAGTCTTCTCCTATGATTCTATATCTGTACTAAAAGTTGTGGCTCATCCTCTTTCATTTCTTATTTGGGTCCACTCCTATTTTCTTGAGTCTGGCTAGAGGTTTGTTGATTTTATCTTTTCCCAGCTCTAGATTATATTTATCTTTTCTATTGTTTTTTTTTTTTAATCTATTAATTTCCTCTGATATTTATTATTTCCTTTCACTGACTCTGGGCTTTGTTCTTTTTTTTAACTCATTTATGGTCCAGATCAGAGTATGGACCAATTTGCTACTAATAGTTACCCTTTTTAAACAAACAGTGGACTTGTTTTTTGTTTTTCTATTATGAAAAGTTTCAAGTATATGGAAACGATGAAAGAATTTATGCTGTGGAGCCCATATAGCTGCTACCTGGATTCTCAGTGTGCTTTATCCCATACCTATTTGCCTACCTCTGTTCATGAACCTATCTTATTATTTTCAAATATCCATACACTTAACCTTTAAATTCATAAGCTGTATATCATTAACTAGAGTTTATAGTTGTTTTTTTTTTTTTGACATAAAATTTACCCTCTGTGATCTATGTCTCCTATCCGATGAATTTTAACAAATGCGTCCCCCTATGCAACTCAAGCCCCTACCTAGATATTATAGACTGTTACTATCATCTGAGAGTGGCCTCATGCTCTTCTCACGTTATAGCTATCTCTGAGAGAACAGCGTTATATCCACTTATGTCTCTTTATACCCCCCAGCTGAAGATCCCTGTCTCTGGACCAAAGTCAGAGGGCCATCTCTATGTCAGCTCATCCAGAGATGCCCCCTTTAAGAGGTATGATGGGAAAGTGGGTGGGGAGCAGGAGGAGCACCTTCTTCTGGAAACAGTCTTGATTTCCTTTTTCAACTGCAGTTGTATGAGTGCGGCACCAAGAATTAGTTTCACAGCCAGGACGACATGCATGCCAGTGCTTTTGCTCTTAGCTCAGTCCGGACATTTTATCCAGTGCAAACTACTGAATCGTCCTCTCCTCATGTTACTGAATTTGAGGAGCTTTACAGTTGGTGTGGTCTAGGTCTGCCGTGCTGTGTCACAGTTTCCAACACTGCTGCCTCTGTCGTTACAAGTGAATAAAAGCCTGGGTTCCTCTTCCAGAGTTATTCATCACATTCTTTATGTAAGCTCTCCCTCCACCCCCATTAATTGGCTTTTCTTGTCTGGTTGCCAGGAGCTAAGTCACTCACTTCCCCCACGGGAAGCCTCTCTCTGAGATGTTTGCTCTTTAGCCAGGATATGTTTTAATTCCTGGGGACAAAAGGAGCAGGCAGTCCCTGCCTGGCCTCGCTGACCCCTGAGCCTGGGATTAGAGGAGGAGCTGAAGGTCGAGGGGAATTAGGAAACCAGGAATGAGGTGCTCCTTCTCTGATGCCAGCCATTCATTGTGAAACTTGCCTTGATGGCGATTTAAATAAAGATAGCCTGGAATAAAAGGTTAAAACATTGCTAACATAATATAGTTTTAAAAATTTAAGACATTCCAAACAACTGTTTATTTCCTTTTAAACCATGTCTTTTGCCTCAGTGTTTTGTTGATGAGAGACTATACTTTTCGTTTTTCTCAGGTGGAACCTTCAGGAGGTCTTCTTAGAGCTCAAGGACGGTCAGCAGATTCCCCTGTTCAAGCCCAGCAGGGACAACGACGAGGTGAAAAAGGAGTGAAAATGATCAGCTCCCTCTGCTCCTGGCCTCGCTGGTCACCATGTGCCCCCCAGGGCTGCAGGTGCGGCCATATGGTGATCTCTGTGTCATTCTACCACAGTGAACCCTACTGAAGTTTTTAGTTTAATCAGAAACTTACTAAAATTTATAATACTTTGAAAGTTCTCTGTATAGAAGCAAAGTATAGAATAAAAGGAATCAGTATTAATAATGTTGATTTCTCATCTCTCACCAACCCACCCCGCCAAAAAAATTTTCAGTGAGGTTTTCTAGCACTGACAAGGTTTTTAATTGTTAACATCAGAATGCCAAGGGAGACAGACAAGCACTTCTATCTGGTTGCTCGACCCTAAATGTATGTTAAGTAGCTTGTTGGTCACTCTCAAGTACTTAGAATTTTTTTTCTTCATTGTTTTATTTTCTTGTTTTAGTCACCAACTGTCTGCCTAATTGAAGATTCACAAAATAACTACTTTAATCCAAACATTTCAAAAGCTTAAAACAACCACATTTTAGAGAATCTTACCTGTAGGTTTTATTAGTCTTGCAGGGGGACAAGATCTTCTGAGCACCAGAACCTGCAAAACCCAGAAATCGGCCCCTTTTGCTTTGGAAAGGCCAATTTAACCCCCTCAGTGTTATTAACCTTAATGAAGTTATAGTCAAGGATGTTCATCAACTCTTTCCCTGCCCTCTTAATATACACTGAAGGGAAACTTCAAAAAGGTTATGCTTAACTATGCTAGTAGGGTATGAGGCCTTTCATCATTGTTCTGTAGTTTGTTATTTCTGTTCTACAGTTTGTTTCTTTAAAAAATACTCTTTGAATAGAATATTAAGTGGAGAAGTCTTTCCCTGAGCGCACTTTTTCCAGTGTGTTCGTTGATAAATATTACAATCTGTGGAGTCTTTTTTGCGCTGCTCTATTCTTTTAACAATTATGTGCTGTTCTGTTAACAGCTTTTACTTCCTTTCAGTGTTTGCTGGATTTTTTTCTTGCTGTGGCCAAACCCTAGAAAACCCAAGTGGATCATCCGTTCTGAAGGAAAAGCAAGTAACAATTTTTGTGTAAAATTTGGATTAAGAGGCTTTCCTCTAGTATTACATAGTGAAAAGGTCCTTCATTTCTATTTGAAAGTCACCATCTTGGGTACTTTTTTCCAGTTAAGCATATTGAGTGTATTTACTTCTTAATGCCTTCATGGCTGATTCTGAACAGGCCAGAATGCAGTCACTGTAGTAGACACTGTCCATTCTTTTCTTGAATTGGTGCAGCCCACTACTTCTTGTGTATCCAGCAATCACTGTGCCTCAGCCATGGTCTCCCAGGAATGACCTTGAAGAAATCTTGGATAATATACATCATCATCAGAGGCAAAGGTGACTTTTTACCATCTGAGCAAATGCTCCAAGCCACCACTGGAGAAAGGGCTTCACTAGCATTGTAAGAATAATCGACTTATGAAAACAGCAGACAAGCAATCACAGCCCACAAATGGCAGGACTCCCAGTCCTGCATTTACTAAATAAGATGCTGCCTGGTGTCCACTCACAGCAGTTCCAAGCAGTGGTGTGAAAGTAATGTAGTAGGAGAGAGAGACCAGTTAGGAGGAATCCAAGAGGCCAGTTGAGTCACCCCTCCCTCTTGGTGGACTGGTGACTCTATGGGCCTTGAGGTCTAAGATTTCAGATATGATGGAGACTGCCTTATAGACAGAACATGAAAAAAGGTCTCAGCAGGGAAAGTGTGAGCTATGCTCCAGAAAGATGATCTGCCCTTTGGCCAGTTAGCTGAAGATACAGTAAAAGCAAGCTCTGGACAGGTAAGGTGGCCAGTGTTAGCACTTTACATGCAGCTTATAGCCATCAGATTTTGGAGTAAGTATATGATTCTACTGTTAAGAGAGTGTGCCAAATTATACTGATAAGACCCCTATGACTTTCAGAAGTCACAGATTTTACTGTCATTTATCCCATTTTTCTAGATTTGGCTTCCCCGTACCTCTCTTCCTTGTAACCATTCACCAATCCAGGGATTTAATAATACCTGCTGAGACAAGGTTCTCTCACTTCCAGTTTTGGTAAAGTTGTATTCAGCAAACATGAAACTAAATTACATCCACATGAAGAAGCTACCAGCACTTGGCAAACAGTGGCCTCTCTCTTCCTCCCAGTGGAAAGGCCAGAGAAATGTTCTCTCAACAGCCCCTTAGGGCTTTCTGAAGGCAAGCAGCCTTAGGCTCTGGACTCTGGTGTTTTCAGCTTGTCCATATTGAAGACATGAATAGATATGAGTAAATACCTATCGGTTACCAGTCTTACAGGTGAGGAGGCAGTGCTCCTACTGCTTGTTCGGAGGCTTGGCCAAAGGAGCCCTGATGATGGTGGCAGGGTATTAAGGAGGTGGTGAGAGGGTGAGGGAGAACCGCCAGGCTCCACCCACAGGAAAACTCGACTCTTCAGGAACCCGTTCAGTTAAAAGTCCTGTCAGGACTATGTAAAGAGAAGCTGACATTTTATGATCCAGGGTTCAAAAGTGGGAGATGAAAATGTTAGAAACATGTCTCAGACACGGGTATGTATCATAGACCACATGTGGCACATTAAACACCTTTCATTATTAAATAATGATCCTCCAAGGCAGAAGTTATTTTTCTGCCACCACGTAACCATTATACTTTTAAATTTGGCTACCATGCAGTTACCTTGCAGTCTTAATATGAAGGTAATTTTTTACTTACAAATTTTTTTTATAAAATAAGAAACTATAAAACTATGGGCTTCCCTGATAGCTCAGTTGGTAAAGAATCCATCTCCAATTCAGGACACCCAGGTTTGATTCCTGGGTTGGAAAGATCCCCTGGAGAAGGGAAAGGCTACCCACTCCAGTATTCTGGCCTGGAGAATTCCATGGACTTGGGTTGGCAAAGAGTTGGACATGACTGAGTGACTTTCACGAAACTATAGGCCAATCTCTGTGACTGTAGCAAAATTCTAAAGAAAATGTTAGCAAACTGAGTCTAGTGACATACAGTAAGTGGTATATTGTATTTCTCACAAAGTATTTTGGTGCCTCCCTCGCAGTGCCCTTCTCTATGGGGAGACTATACTTCCTTGCCAGCCCTTGGTTCACGTCTTCTTTTTCTCTCTCCCTTAAAATCAGTAATGTTCCAGATGGCAGCTATTCCCAGGACCTGGGTGCTAGAATATAGATGATCCAAAATGAGACAGGTAGCCTGAATGAGAAGTAAACCCTTCTAAGTCCTTACAACTGGGGACATTTTCACTCCAGCTTAACTGGACTTCCAACAGTGACTGAGAGGTCTATTTCAGAAATGGAAGGGTGGTTTCATATTAGGAGAACCACTAGTATAGTTCATCACATTAATAAAAAGCTAAGAAGGAAAGTATATATGCTAATTTTAAAAGATACAAAAAGGCATTTGACTAAAATTAAGTATTCATATTAAAAATGAGAATTAATGGATAATTCTTTTCTTAAGGGGTGTGTGTATATACATTATATTCTCAAAGCCAACATCTTAATTGGGAAACTGGTAGAGGTTTTTTACAAGATAAGGATGCATTATATTGACTATTATTTAACACTGTATTGTATCCAGTACAATTAGATATTTTTATTTTTATTTATTTATTTATTTTTATTTATTTTTTTAAAATTTATTTATTTTTTTCATTTATTTTTATTAGTTGGAGGCTAATTACTTTACATCATTGCAGTGGGTTTTGTCATACATTGAAATGAATTAGCCATGGATTTACATGTATTCCCCATCCCGGTCCCCCCTCCCACCTCCCTCTCCACCCGATCCCTCTGGGTCTTCCCAGTGCACCAGGCCTGAGCACTTGTCTCATGCACCCAACCTGGGCTGGTGATCTGTTTCACCCTAGATAATATACGTGTTTCGATGCTGTTCTCTTGAAACATCCCACCCTCGCCTTCTCCCAGAGTCCACAAGTCTGTTCTATACATAGGAGTCTCTTTTTCTGTTTTGCATATAGGGTTATCATTACCATCTTTCTAAATTCCATATATATGTGTTAGTATACTGTAATGGTCTTTATCTTTCTGGCTTACTTCGCTCTGTATAATGGGCTCCAGTTTCATCCATCTCATTAGAACTGATTCAAATGAATTCTTTTTAATGGCTGAGTAATATTCCATGGTGTATATGTACCACAGCTTCCTCATCCATTCGTCTGCTGATGGGCATCTAGGTTGCTTCCATGTCCTGGCTATTATAAACAGTGCTGCGATGAACATTGGGGTGCATGTGTCTCTTTCAGATCTGGTTTCCTCGGTGTGTATGCCCAGAAGTGGGATTGCTGGGTCATATGGCAGTTCTATTTCCAGCTTTTTAAGAAATCTCCACACTGTTTTCCATAGTGGCTGCCAGTACAATTAGATATTTTTAAAAGGCCTAAAACATGAGAAAGAGTAATGCAGTTACTGTTTACATAGATGATTTTATATATCTGCAAAACCCAAGGCAATCCATGGATCAGTACTGTGTATTTAGTAAATTATAAAACCAATATTCTTCACATAAATAATAATCAAAAGAAATAAGGGAGAGCAGACAGTGTTTAGAATCGCAAAAACTACTTAGGAAAAAAACTTAGCAAGAAATCTGCAAAACTTAGATATGCTAAAAGACACTCCCTGAGGTCCAAATGCAGAACTGAACAAAAGAAAAGACATGGTGTTTTTGGATGGCAAGATTCCTCACCATAAAGATGTCAGTTCTCCCTGACATCTTTATTAATTAAGTAGCTTGTCTAACTTTTAAAAGTCCCTAATATTTTTATTGGTGACTTTTAAAAGTTAGATAAGCTAATTAATTATAAATTCATTTGGAAGGAAACAAACAAAGATGGCCAGGAAATCCCTGCAAAGGAAGAGCAAGGAGGGAAGGTAGTCTCACATCCATTCAAACATATCTGTAAATACTGATGGTGTGCTGGCACATGAAGAGACA